TAGCAGCCTCTTTGTGCGAGTGGGAAGGCTGCGGGGAGGGAAGATCTCTTGCTGTGCTCTCGCCCCGGTCCTTTTACGGCCGCCCGTAGTCACCCACAGTTGGACTGTGAGTTATTTAATTTCCTCCGCTGGCAGGGGCCAGGGGCCTTTCCGCGCTCGGCCTGGGCTGAGAAACGGGCCGGCACCGGTGACGTCCATCTCTCGCCGTCTGCCCAGGGAAGTCCGTTTCTGGTTTGAGGTGGCTCTGGAGATCAGCCCGGCTTTGCTGCCCTGGAGCTGGCTCTCCCGGAGGGGAGGTTTGGGTCTTGGCCTGTCCTGCCGCCACACCAGCGCACTGTGGGATGAGGGCTGCTCACCTTCCTCCTCCTAACCACTGCTGTCTGGGGCTGGGCCGAGCTGGGCCAGGGTGTCCCTGCGGAGGAGGGAGGGGAAGGGTTACCCTCACCCCAAGCCTGGCTGCATTTAGGGTGCAGCTGGAAGAGAAAAAGCAGACTGCCTTTTTCTTCATCATCTTTATTTACACGGGTTAAAAACACAGCGTTGCTGAAGGGTCTGCCAGCAGAAGTGCTGCAATTTGTCCTGGTTCTGCAGGGGCCTCTCATCTCATCTTAACCCGCCGCCTTCCCCCCAAATAAACTCCCCTCATCTAAGGCTGCTGGCTGCGGTTCAAACCCCCATCGTCAGCGGGACGGGAGGAGGGAGGTGAGGAAGAGATGAACACCCCGGAGCTGGGGAAGGGAGGCAGCCCCAGGACATCCACCCCTCCATCCTGCCACCCAAAGGGCCTTTTTCCTTCTGTCCCTCATCTCTTTGCTCCTGCTCTGAGGAAGGGGAGCGGGTGATGGTCTGCCCTGCCCGGCTCGCTGCAGAGCAGCCTGACCTGGGGTGTGCCTGGGGGGCTGCCTGCCTCCTCCCCACCCGGGGAGCAGGCTGAGCGCTGCCCCGGCCCCCCATCCCACGTCACCTCTCCTCCCGGGGCTCCTCCGTGGCCGACGGGGCGGGCAGCACCCGGCCGCTCTTCACTGTGCCCAGCATGGCCACCAGCTCGCTCTTCCTCACCAGGGCTGCACGCAGCTGGTCCCGCATCTCCTGGATCTTCTCCTCCAGCTCCCGGAGCTCGCTCTCGCCGGCCTCCCTGTCCGGGGGCCGCAGCACCCGCCCGTTCCTGGGGTGCTGCAGGGACCCCTCGCCCTCAGGGGGGGCTTTGTCCAGCTGGAACCGCACCCGACGTGCCTCCTTCCGCAGGGTGCTCCAGGGCTGCCCCGCCGCCGGCACCTGCCTCAGCTGGAGGTTGCACCTTTTTGGAGAGGGATAGAAGGATTGAGCGGGGAGCTGGCGGCTGGGAGGTCCCTCCATGGCCCCCCCCGGGACAGCGGGTGCCCATGAGGAGGAGGAGGAGGAGAGCGAGGCAGGGGGCCAGCCTCAGCTGTACCTCTGCTCCAAGCTCAGCTGCTGGCTTTTCTGCTCCTCCATGCCCATGTTCAGAGCCCGGTGGATTTTCTGTGGGGAACAAGGGAAGAGTGAGATGGGGGGTGATGGTCCAGGGCTGGAGGAGGGCCGAGGTTGTGCAAGGGAATAGGGAGCAGC